CTGGTTTGCTATCACCTAAAACAACCTTTGTTCATTCAATCTTCGCTTGTGTGGGAAACGTTATCGTCCAAAATACTGTCCGTCTATAAACATTGTGATGGACTGCTCAGTAACATTCGACACAACGGACTGCATAAAAGAAGAAAGTGACTCACAAATTACGCGCTGTTTTTTGTCCGATTCAAAACATAGGTGGCGAAAAGTAATAGTGTGGCGAAGTTGTCGGACCGTTGTCTGAAGCTGTCCTCAAATGACAAACTTCAGAACATGGTCCGAAAAGCCGAAGTAAAAAGAAAAACTTCCACTATTTACATTATTCGGACTATTATCCTCATCTTTATTGCCATATTTATCACAACGTTTCAGATGGCTGAAATGTCGAACTGAACCCTTTATTTCGCTCGCTGGGGTAGACTGTTCTAGTTCCACGTGCCATGTCTAATGGATGTCAGTTATCAGTTAATTTTCCCTCTCCATGTTCTCTACTGTTTTAACCAGGTATTGAGCTCACACTTTTCAATGACACATGACACAGTGGATAAAAGAGTTAGTCAGATCCAATGACAGGACCCAAAATTAACGGTCGAAACGTTGTGATAAATATGGCGACAAAGATGAGGACAATAGTCCGAATAATGAAAATATTGTACATAATACCTCATCTCAGAAATATAGATGGAAAACTTCCAGTTAAATAAAACCGAAAATAGAAGATATCTCAATATGACTGATAAATGTTAAATCCGAGATGTAATGAGATTTTTTCCTATGAATGAGGCTTTATGGAACAGACACCTGTGCAGGTGCAGATGTTTTCTTTGAATAAACTTAATCTCTTCAACAAGTCAAGGATTAGTCGTTGTTTATCCATCACAGAAAAAGCTATATATATATATATATATATATATATATATATATATATATATATATATATATATATATATATTAAAACATATATGGATAAATGAAACAGACAACGAATGTCTATTATGTTTGATCATGAACCGTTCTAAACTTCGTATAGTTGCTTTAATTTCGGGAGAAAATAAAGACCAAAATTGTCCAACATCTGGATATTATTATTATTTTGCCGTTCCTTGATCTATGCTTTCGGCTCACAAGAGCCATTTTCATAGAAGTTATACGGACATTTAAACAAAGATATACACCATCCAAGATGATATTTTGTATGTTGACATAGAAGATTGCTGTACGACAATAACGGTGTTCTCCCAAAATTAAAGCAACTAATCGATGCTTAGAACGGTTCATGATCAAACTTAATAGACATTCGTTGGCTGTTATATTTAACAATATATGTTTGAATAATGATCTGCTGCCCCAATACACAATATATATATATATATATATATATATATATATATATATATATATATATATATATAAAAGGCTTAAACACTAATATTCCCATATATTAGTGTTTAAGCCTTTTTTTATATATCCTTACTCTGTCCTAGACATTGAGTTCTACCTGGATTCTTCCACTTGGAATTTTTTTCTAAAAAATATACATGTATGGGTATTTATATATTTTGCATATGTATGTATATTTTCCACTAATATTATCTATCTATATATATATATATATATTTGTGTGTGTGTGTGTGTGTGTGTGTGTGTGTGTGTGTGTGTGTGTGTGTGTGTGTGTGTGTGTGTGTAAAAAAATATATAGAAAATAGGAAAGAACTTGTTAGGTAAATAATCCAAAGTTCTTTAGTATTTTTGTTATTATTTTTAGAAAATAGTGCTCGATACAAAAGTAGAGCATAAATATAATTATTTATTTAAAAATATGATTCCAACGCGTTGGAATCATATTTTTAAATAAATAATAATATATATATATATATATATATATATATATATATATATATATATATATAGTGTTAAAATATCGACACAAAAGCAAATTCAAATTTCCATAAGTTTAACTTAATAAGCAACTATATTTCCATAATATTCACTTCCCTCTAACTCTTCAAATATTGAATGTATAACTAATTCTAATTTCTATTTCCCCCTCTATATCTTTTTACGTTATATTTATAATTTATAAACTTTCCCCTACTCTAAGATTTCCCCAACCCTCTTTCCATTAACCTTTTAAATCCTATATATTTTAAAGTTATTTTTAAATCCCTTTTTATTCTTCTTTTAATTTTAAATTGATATTTCATTCTTCATATAGACCCAAATTAAGGTCATAAGGTTAATAATATCCGTAATTAATTTGATAAAACTTCTTCCCTTTAAGAGAAATACCTTACACCCCGATTCCTGTCTCATGATTTTCGTCTGATTGAAATATTGAAATGGATAAATTCGGTATTAGTTTTTCGAATGTTTTTTTTTCCTTTTTGTTTTGTTTTTTTTGCTTTCACAGTTAAATTTCTATTTCTGACACGAATTCACTCCACACCGGGGTTGTTGAGGCAGACGACCGATGTTTTCGTCGGCCGAAATAGCCTCTTCCACATTTGAGGTGATTTTGGATTTTATCGTTTATTAATTATTTGCTCTGTAATAATAAATACATTCAGCTCATTTTGTGGGTCAGTTTTAGTATTTTATATTACAGTGTAACACGGATATAAGAGAGTTGTCGAGACCGGAGAAGAAGTCTCTTATATCCGCGTTTCTCTTATATCCGGGTTTGGTCTAATTTATATACATTAACACAGGCTCTAATTTGGGACCAGAGAAAATCTCTCTTATATCCGGGTTTCTCTCATATCAGGGTCTCTTATATCCGGGTTACACTGTACTATGATTCACTTGGAATATATATAAAAAACGGATTTTTTCACTGCTACTATATATATATATATATATATATATATATATATATATATATATATATATATATATATATATATATATATATATCGAGGTTTGTATTAATAGTTTTAGTATCTATTTATTATCTTAAAACTCTGGACATCACTATACTTAGTTATCCCCCTGAAACGTTACTGAAGCCATCGCAGTACTCATTTAGCGTTCTTCAATTCACAAGTAAAAAAACAAAAAATAACTGTGTTCAGATGAACACAGAAATTTTGTTTTTGAAATTGATGAACACTACAATATTTGTTTCGAAATAAACAACACGTTGATGACGGCATATGTCAAAATAAAATAATATGTGTCGACACGTTGTTTTCCTATCTTCTTTTAATAAGGAAACCAAAAAGCGTTTCATATAGAAAGGATCGAAAATAAATAGACAAAACAAAACATGTCTTAATTATTTAATGAGACATGTCTCAATATATATATATATATATATATATATATATATATATATATATATATATATATATGAAACATATATTGAAACATGTCTCAGTATTATCTCTCTATATTTCTGGGATGAGGTATTATGTACACTATTTACAATATTCGGACTATTGTCCACATCTTTGTTAATCTTCACCAGGTATTGAACTCACAATCTTTGGGTCCTGTCACTGGATTTAACTAACGCCTTTATCCACTGTGCCGTGTGTCCTCACACATGGTATAGTGGATAAGGCGGTGGAGAGGGGAATTAACTGTGATAACTGATAACTGATATCCATTAGACATGGCTCGTGAAACTCGAACAGTCTACCTCAGCGAGCGAAATAAAGGGTTCAGTTCGACATTTCAACCAGCTGAAAAAAGCCGGAGCGTAAATGGCCGAAACGTTGTGATAAATATGGCAACAAAGATGAGGACAATAGTTCGAATAATGTAAATAATGTCTATATATATATATATATATATATATATATATATATATATATTGACACATGTTTCAATATATATATATATATATATATATATATATATATACTGGAGAGATTCAACTCCAAAACTAATAAAACTTAGTTCTTTTGTTCACCGTTTCTGTGGCAATCTTTTGCACCGATTCCATGTTATTAGTACTTTCAAAAAGTCTGGATAGTCCTGCACACACCTTCACCACTATAATCGAATCCTCTGTGGGGGCTTTTTGGCAACTTTCATCTCAGCTGTCAATGTGCCACACACTAACTTTGATCGAGTTGTCCTGGATAGAAATAACTGGAGATATTTCTGTCAGACTGGTACAGAAATTTTGAAATCAGTCGGATTGACCGTCTAAGAGACGAAAAACAACGGCGAAATATTCCTATGGCTATGTTCTAAGATTAGCGCTGTTGCACAATACGTGGACTTGTATGCGGGTCACTAGATTATTTATTTATTTATTCATTTGGATGAATTGAGATCAATTTATTTTACTTGTTATTATTTATTTGTGAATTATTTGTTATTATTTATTTGTGAACCATTTTCATTATGCGAAGATGATAATATGATAAAACGAAGAGTGCACTGAAAAGTTCTCAGTCGTACTAAAATCCCTTAAAATGTCTGATATTTGGCTATTTGATTAAACTTTTCCTCACCCTCTCCCGCTCGTACTGAAAATTGAAATGCATAGATTGACGACAATTAATAACAGACATCAAAATAGAGGTTACTGTCTTTTTTGAAGTTAAAAACAATGGGTAACTACTTAGGCATTTGTCCAGGTCGTAATTGAAATGTGTTTCACTTACGTGAGGCAACATCATTATATGCAAAAAAAGATGGCACACGTTTCACTAACGGGTTCTTGAATAACTGCTGAGTGCAAAATATTCTAACGAACCAACTGCACAGCTTGAACCTTCTGTATTTGATTTTTGATTGGTTATTTTTTTTCATGGCTTATCAACCGTTTTCAGGTTATTTAAAGCCAAAAAATATTTTTTAGATTCTAAGAAGCCTTTGGAGATAATAATGATTTGCTGATACAAGTCCTACTAATTAACCCATAGCTGGGGGGATAAGTGGTAGATTCATATCTTTCCCAACGCTATTTGCGCAATATAACAAACCAGACTGAAATTGGAACTCGGCTCTCCGATTTCTAATTCCGATCCATTATACCACGCCAACAGCCAATCATACATCACCTGGTATTCCCAAGTGGTCACCCATCTAGGTACTAAGCAAGCTCGAGATTGCTTAACTTCGGTGATTGTACTAAAATCTGTTTCAACGCGATGTGGCCATAAACCTTTTTGTATTTGGACTCCGCGCTATTATACCAGTACAACGATTGCAACGGATTATTTGGATAGTCTTTTTTAAGTGCATCAGAGAGGGCAATAACTAAAATGAAAAGGTTTGAATAAATCGAAGACTGAACTATTTACAATTTAATTTTCCTCCTGTAAAGAGGATTGATTTACTAATATGAAATCGCACTGAAAAGTTCTCGGCCTCACCAAGAAAATTCGTCCAGCCGAGAAACTTTCAACCCCATGTCGTATTTAAACCGTTATAAAATATATGCAATTTATATAACATGATTAAAAATAGTCGAAGATTTCTTTAAAAACTTGGAAAATTCTTAAAAATCTAACTTTTAAGAGCGTCCTGGTTATGATCATAAACTACTCCCGGCAGCAAGGCCTCTGATCGGGAGGTTAAAGGTGTTGAGAAGCGTGGAACCACCGCTTAATTGCTGTTGTTCCCAGTCCCAGCTATGGGTAAATAGTGAAAACCCTAAACATAAATCAACAGTACATTTTTTATAATAAAACTAGCAGCATGGCCCGGCCATGCCCGTACTTGATTCAAAAATCGTACGACTCATACAGCAATCGCTACCACTTGACTTAAAATATTTTTGCCCTTCCTTGCCTTTAAATGAGTGCACTTTGCCGTGCTGATGTTGCTACATGCCTTACTTCTTGCCTATCTCACACTGCGAATTTTTTCTAAGCTCTATACTAAACATTAAATCTGTTACGAAAAAAGAACTAAACAAAATGAACACAAAACGATCATCTTTAAAAAACGACTCGTAACTGGAAAAACCGAATGAAAAAAGAATGTTAACCACCAATACTTTTTCACACCCAACCCAGTTCTACGGAATCGGAATCAACGTTGAGTTTAAGCAAGCGAATGAGCCAATTGGGTAAAGTGCCACGCAGATTTAATTTTTTCCCACTTGTGACGAATGCAGCTATCGATGTTTTTTTGCATGCTAGCATACTAGTTAACATTCGTGTCAGTCAGCTGTTGGCTCTCAAGCTGGCCAATAGAATCTTCCTGCCTATTCGTGGCAACCAGCTATTGGCTCTCACTCTGGCCAGTACAAAATGGCCGCAAAGTAAATGAAAACTGTCGTAGAAGCATGAAAAAATCGATTATTTCCACTATCGATGTGAGTTGAGAAATGCAAAGTCTGTCTTGGCCTTCCCGCTAACTTGGAGCATGTGCATGTAAATTTTGGTGCAAATCCGTCGAAAATTGCGGCCGTGCATTCGTTACACACACACACACACACACACACACACACACACACACATCCTGCCTTTTATAGATAGAGATGATAAACAATACAGTTTTATAGCAAAATGACAATCATTGCAACGCTAAAAATATATAAAAATAAATTTTTATAGTAAAATTACCAACATTTTATGATCTACAAAATGTATATCCAAAAAAAAATACCTTTACTCTGAATGTATAATATTATGTAAAAAATATCTGTAGTTGAAAGCATAAAATTAATACAAAATATTTAGATTTTGGCACTAAATAACCCAAAGAGTTTATTATACCAATAAACAAAACTACCAAACATGAACGAGCTCTTTCATGACATTAATCCATATAATATCCTACCATTTCTTAGAGAAATCAAACTGTATTCTAAAATATAACTTTAACAAAACTACAACATATCACCGCCTCTAGTAATTATGTCTCCACAACATGTATATGCATAAAAGCTGAGTATCATCTACCATGTATTCAACTGTAAAAGCAGAATAACATATATCATATTTTTATTACTTCAAAGCTTACATGAAAATTAAATTTCAGCATTAAAGAGTTGATATTCTGTTAAACAAAGAAAACAATATAAATTTACGAGTTATGAATGTATTCGCTGTTTATGTAAGTCAGGATTCTCAAAGATGGCACCAGTGTCCCTTGTCCTAGAGGAGGTGGAGCAATAGTTGGCAATAAAGATAAAAACAATTTGGTCTTGGGTATTGTAGAAAATTCGAGAATTTTTCGGAAAAGTTGAGAATTGTAAAATGCTGACAATAATTCTGTAATAATGTTCTAGAATTTTCAAATTGTGTATCGACACGTATATGAATTTCGTCAGTTTAGTAAACTGTGATATTGGATTATTTATTTCTTTTGAAATCATCTCGAAATGTTTCAAAAAGTTACATTGGAATTAGTTTTGAATTTTAAAATGACACCAAAATAAAATCGATATTTTAAGTATCTTACAGAAATTTTTGTTCACAACGAGAAATTCCGGCCCGATATCCCGCCATATTGACAATTGTGAAAAATTTCTTCTTCAACTATGAGCCATGTTCCATTAGGACGTGGATATTTATGGCTCTCTATAAATTTATGCCCTTTTGTAGTTCTTAGTAATGTTTTTATTTTTGCCTCACATTATACATGAGTATATACGGTAATCTTAAAATTGTTGAAAGGTAAAATATACTTTTTTCTGCTTACAGAAATAGAACCAGACATCAATCTTATTCTTTTCATTAATTGTTAATTCTCTACCTGCCATTGTACATAAATTTGACACTAATATTACCTTTTTATTATGCATAAATAATATTATGTAGTCAAATTTAATTAATTCTTAGATTCTTTATTATGCTTAAATAATATTATGTAGTCATGTTTAATTAATTCTTAGATTTCTTTATTATGCTTAAATAATATTATGTAGTCAAATTTAATTAATTCTTAGATTCTTTATTATGCTTAAATAATATTATGTAGTCATGTTTAATTAATTCTTAGATTTCTTTATTATGCTTAAATAATATTATGTCGTCATGTTTAATTAATTCTTAGATTTCTTTATTATGCTTCAATAATATTATGTAGTCATGTTTAATTAATTCTTAGATTTTTTATTACGCTTAAATAATATTATGTAGTCATGTTTAATTAATTCTTAGATTTCTTTATTACCCTTAAATAATATTATGTAGTCATGTTTAATTAATTCTTAGATTTTTTATTATGCTTAAATAATATTATGTAGTCATGTTTAATTAATTCTTAGATTTCTTTATTACCCTTAAATAATATTATGTCGTCATGTTTAATTAATTCTTAGATTTCTTTATTATGCTTAAATAATATTATGTCGTCATGTTTAATTAATTCTTAGATTTTTTTATTATGCTTAAATAATATTATGTAGTCAAATTTAATTAATTCTTAGATCTTTATTATGCTTCAATAATATTATGTAGTCATGTTTAATTCTTAGATTTTTTTATTACGCTTAAATAATATTATGTAGTCATGTTTAATTAATTCTTAGATTTCTTTTTTATGCTTAAATAATATTATGCTGTCATGTTTAATTAATTCTTAGATTTATTCTTATGCTTAAATGATATTATGTGGTCATGTTTAATTAATTCTTAGATTTTTCATTATGCTTGAATATTATTATGTAGTCATGTTTAATTAATTCTTAGATTTCTTTATCATGCTTAAATAATATTATGTAGTCATGTTTAATTAATTCTTAGATTTTTTTATGATTGAATAATATGTTGTCATGTTTAATTAATTCTTAGATTTCTTTATTATGCTTGAATAATATTATGTAGTCATGTTTAATTATCTCTTAGATTTCTTTTTTATGCTTTAATAATATTATGTAGTCATGTTTAATTAATTCTTAGATTTCTTTTTTATGCTTAAATAATATTATGCAGTCATGTTTAATTATCTCTTAGATTTCTTTTTTATGCTTTAATAATATTATGTAGTCATATCTAATTAATTTTTAGATTTTTTATTATGCTAAAATAATATTTTGTAGTCATGTTTAATTAATTCTTAGTTTTTTATGTGTAAATAATATTACGTAGTTATGTTTAATTAGTTCTTAGTTTGTTATTATGTTTAAATAATATTATGCTTTTATATTTAAAGAATTCTTAGTTTTCTGTTGGCTTGTTTGCTAGTTTTGCAAAATTTCGTCATTTTTAAAACATGTAGAAGGAACCGTTACAAATATCTTGTATGACTTGGCGGGGCAGCCAAAATAATGATATAAATTGTGAGACTTAAACTTTCGTTCCGGTTAACGATCCCATTTCATTGTTGTATTTGGATCTTGTGCACGGAGGCAAGGGTCTACTGTGTCGTATCTCTACCCACCGGTTTTACTGCTACTTCGCCGCTTCGGTTTTAGTATTTTAGTATTTTTCTCTTTCATAAACGAAATATCTCTAGTGACATGGAAAAAAAAATTTGATACTTTATCAACTGGATTTTCCAATTTTTAAGCTGATAAATGTTTTAACTTAAAATTAACATTTTCTCGGGTGTAGCGAAAGAGAAAATCGGTGGGTCGATTTCGAATTCCAGTCGAGGTAGTTACCGTAATTTTCGCACAAATACGCTTTGGAAATATATGAAGCCATCACGTCTTCCCAATCTATGAGATAAATAACATGAGAGATAGGACTCTCTAGGCGAGGTTGGTGACTAGTGTATGAGAAGGAAAATTCTGAATTCAAAACCAGTTATGTGGGCCTAACAAACTGTTCACAATAAACAGCTGTGGGGGGTTGTGCACTCTTTGATCATGATTTATGTATATATTTTTACGGCTTATCAACCCTTTGCAGGTTATTTAAAGCCAGAAAATATTTTTAGATTGTAAGAATATTGTTTAGGGAGGAGATAATAAGTGTTTAGTGATACAAGACCTGCTAATTAACCCATAGCTGGGGGAAGAGGTAGATCCATACCTTCCACAGGGTTATCTGCGCGAATATAACGAACCCAACGGGAATTGGAACTCAGCTATCCAATTAAAAATTCCGAGCCATTATACCACCCACGCAGGTAAGCTTACAGCATCTGGTATTCGCATGCGGTCACTCATCCAGGTACTGACCAGGCTCGACTTTGCTTAACTTCGGTGATTGCATAGGAACGGGTGTTTCAACGTGATGTGTTTGTAAACCTTCTATGATCATGAATGAGGTCGAATAAAAAAAGTATTTTGTTCATTAAAAGCCAAGTTGAAAGAGATTATCAGAGTTCCGGAATTAATAAAAAAAACCACTGGCAGAATATGTATATTGTAGTTAAGCATTACTATACACTGAAAATTAGGAATTAGTGAATTCCTAATTTTCAATGTTTTTCCAGTGTTACTAGCAGAATAGAATTAGAATTAGATCGGTTGATTTCATAATATGCCAACCCTTGTTGGGTTATTTATTGTCTAATTTTGTATGAGGCACTCAGTGAGAATCAAACCTTTTACTGTCCTGGGACTGACGATAAACTACATCCGCGTTCTGGGTAAGACGATAAACTACATCTTCATCCTGGGTATGACGATAAACTACATCCGCGTCCTGGGTATGACGATAAACTACATCCGCGTCCTGGGTAAGACAATAAACTACATCTTCATCCTGGGTATGACGATAAACTACATCCGCGTCCTGGGTATGACGATAAACTACATCCGCCTCCTGGGTAAGACAATAAACTACATTTTCATCCTGGGTATGACGATAAACTACTCCGCGTCCTGGGTAAGACGATAAACTACGTCTAACAGCAAGGCGTCTGATCAGGAGGTTTTGAGGAGCGTGGAACCACTTCTTAATTGCTGGTGTTCGCAGTTCCACCCTGACATGGGGTGGTAGCACCTGTTAGGGTCCCAGCTATGGGTAAATATTTAACCGCCAACCTGTGGTTAAAACACTATGAAAGTGTAAAAATAAATTTTAATACCAGAAATACTTTGTAAAAAATTACTACCAGCAATATATTTTTGAAAAAAAATTCCAGCTATACATTAAAAAGAAAATTACCACCAATATATATTTTTGAAAAAAAAATTACCAGCAATAAAAATCTTGAGGTTGATATGCCGTAAACCAAATCAAACCAAACCAAACCAATAAAACCTTCTAATAAGCTGTAATAGCCAAACAGACGAGACACGTTAACCATAATCAACACTGAATCATCTTAGTATTATTAGAAATATAATGTAAATGCATTGCTTTTTTTTTTTTATATAGTAAATGCATATGAGAAAAAACAATGGTCAGTTGTCAGAATTTAATGCTAGTCTTATTAATATAATTATTATATATAACTACAGAATCTCCCAGACAAAATGGTATAGGTCAGGGGTCGGCAAGCTACGGCACGCGTGCCAGACGTGTCACGCCAAGCAATTTCCAATGGCACGCAGCCGCAAATGATATCACGAAGTCCGAACCAATAACTAGTAAAACGCAAAGATATTTAGCTGTTTCAATTTTAATATATACTAAAGTATATATACTATATATTACTATATAAAATATATTGTAGAACAAGGATATTTACCTTGACTTGTATAAAAAAAAATACGTACGTTATTGGCACACTGAATGATTTTAAAACCCTAAGTCGGCACATAGTTAACAAAAGGTTGCCGACCTCTGGTAGAAGTAATTGAAAAGAAAGGACTAACACTCAATGGTTTTTATTGATTGATTCATTGTCTATGGTTCATAAGGACACTTATGAAAGCTTTTAACTAATTTTATAATATTTTAACAACTTAAATGTAAAATCTATTATAATTAATGAAATAACAAATAATTGTATTAAAAATTCATTTTTCATCGAAAAAATCTTTTCGCTTTCAGAAAATATTGTCCATATTCATAAAAACAACTAAAAGCAAATAAAAGCATTTGAAATTAAATAATATATTTGTTTTATTGAGTTTTGTAAGTTACAATTCAGAGCTGATTTTCAGGTACTGCGTATCCAATTAAAAACAAAAAAAAACATGATTTGCATTCTTCAAAGCCCTGTGCTTTTAATTATTGTAATCACTAAAACCGATGCGATCGAATTTCTAGCGTTTTCATAAAATTAGTTATGGAGGGGGGGTAATAAATATTTTTAAAAAAATATTTCTACCATGACTTTCATAAAAAAAAAACATATTTATAATAATTTCGATCATCTGTGAATAGTTTCTGAAAGTTTCATTAACATCCGATAATTATTTCTATTTTTGCACGATTTTTCAAATTAATGTGTCATACCATAAAAAAAACGTGCTAAAAATTGTCTATGTTATTTACTAGTTCCGCTGATACAAATAGAAAAAAGGTTTTTTTAATCAAAATTTAGAATGTTCTAAAAAGAAGGAAAATTTTTTTAAAATAATTAAAAAAAAAAAACTTTGGTCTTTCCTCTTAATAATAACATAAGCATTTAGACAATAAAATTTAGTTTTCGGCAAGTTTGGCTATGCTCTTTTTTTAGCGATTTCGTGGAGGTACCTATATTAAACCCATAGCTAGCGGATACGAGATGGATTCGTAATTTTCGTGATATAATGACCCAAAGGGAATTAGAACTCGCCTCTACAATTAAAAATTCGGAGCCGTTATCCATTACACCACCCACACATCCAAGCTTACGGCACCTGGCATTCCCAAGCGTTCACCCATTTAGATATTGACCAGGTTCGACGCTGCTTAACTTCGGTTATCGTACGGGGAGCGGTGTTTTCCCAAGCGTTCACCCATTTAGATATTGACCAGGTTCGACGCTGCTTAACTTCGGTTATCGTACGGGAAGCGGTGTTTTCCCAAGCGTTCACCCATTTAGATATTGACCAGGTTCGACGCTGCTTAACTTCGGTTATCGTACGGGGAGCGGTGTTTTCCCAAGCGTTCACCCATTTAGATATTGACCAGGTTCGACGCTGCTTAACTTCGGTTATCGTACGGGGAGCGGTGTTTTCCCAAGCGTTCACCCATTTAGATATTGACCAGGTTCGACGCTGCTTAACTTCGGTTATCGTACGGGGAGCGGTGTTTTCCCAAGCGTTCACCCATTTAGATATTGACCAGGTTCGACGCTGCTTAACTTCGGTTATCGTACGGGGAGCGGTGTTTTCCCAAGCGTTCACCAATTTAGATATTGACCAGGTTCGACGCTGCTTAACTTCGGTTATCGTACGGGTAGCGGTGTTTTCCCAAGCGTTCACCCATTTAGATATTGACCAGGTTCGACGCTGCTTAACTTCGGTTATCGTACGGGAAGCGGTGTTTTCCCAAGCGTTCACCCATTTAGATATTGACCAGGTTCGACGCTGCTTAACTTCGGTTATCGTACGGGAAGCGGTGTTTTCCCAAGCGTTCACCCATTTAGATATTGACCAGGTTCGACGCTGCTTAACTTCGGTTATCGTACGGGGAGCGGTGTTTTTCCCAAGCGTTCACCCAATTAGATATTGACCAGGTTCGACGCTGCTTTACTTCGGTTATCGTACGGGGAGCGGTGTTTTCCCAAGCGTTCACCCATTTAGATATTGACCAGGTTCGACGCTGCTTAACTTCGGTTATCGTACGGGGAGCGGTGTTTTCCCAAGCGTTCACCCATTTAGATATTGACCAGGTTCGACGCTGCTTAACTTCTGTTATCGTACGGGGAGCGGTGTTTTCCCAAGCGTTCACCCATTTAGATATTGACCAGGTTCGACGCTGCTTAACTTCGGTTATCGTACGGGGAGCGGTGTTTTCCCAAGCGTTCACCCATTTAGATATTGACCAGGTTCGACGCTGCTTAACTTCGGTTATCGTACGGGGAGCGGTGTTTTCCCAAGCGTTCACCCATTTAGATATTGACCAGGTTCGACGCTGCTTAACTTCGGTTATCGTACGGGAAGCGGTGTTTTCCCAAGCGTTCACCCATTTAGATATTGACCAGGTTCGACGCTGCTTAACTTCGGTTATCGTACGGGAAGCGGTGTTTTCCCAAGCGTTCACCCATTTAGATATTGACCAGGTTCGACGCTGCTTAACTTCGGTTATCGTACGGGAGCGGTGTTTTCCCAAGCGTTCACCCATTTAGATATTGACCAGGTTCGACGCTGCTTAACTTCGGTTATCGTACGGGGGAGCGGTGTTTTTCCCAAGCGTTCACCCATTTAGATATTGACCAGGTTCGACGCTGCTTAACTTCGGTTATCGTACGGGGAGCGGTGTTTTCCCAAGCGTTCACCCATTTAGATATTGACCAGGTTCGACGCTGCTTAACTTCGGTTATCGTACGGGGAGTGGTGTTTTTCCCAAGCGTTCACCCATTTAGATATTGACCAGGTTCGACGCTGCTTAACTTCGGTTATCGTACGGGGAGCGGTGTTTTCCCAAGCGTTCACCCATTTAGATATTGACCAGGTTCGACGCTGCTTAACTTCGGTTATCGTACGGGGAGCGGTGTTTTCCCAAGCGTTCACCCATTTAGATATTGACCAGGTTCGACGCTGCTTAACTTCGGTTATCGTACGGGGAGCGGTGTTTTCCCAAGCGTTCACCCATTTAGATATTGACCAGGTTCGACGCTGCTTAACTTCGGTTATCGTACGGGGAGCGGTGTTTTCCCAAGCGTTCACCCATTTAGATATTGACCAGGTTCGACGCTGCTTAACTTCGGTTATCGTACGGGAGCGGTGTTTTCCCAAGCGTTCACCCATTTAGATATTGACCAGGTTCGACGCTGCTTAACTTCGGTTATCGTACGGGGAGCGGTGTTTTCCCAAAGCGTTCACCCATTTAGATATTGACCAGGTTCGACGCTGCTTAACTTCGGTTATCGTACGGGGAGCGGTGTTTTCCCAAGCGTTCACCCATTTAGATATTGACCAGGTTCGACGCTGCTTAACTTCGGTTATCGTACGGGGAGCGGTGTTTTCCCAAGCGTTCACCCATTTAGATATTGACCGAGGTTCGACGCTGTTCACCCATTTAACTTCAGGTTATCGTACGGGGAGCGGTGTTTTCCCAAGCGTTCACCCATTTAGATATTGACCAGGTTCGACGCTGCTTAACTTCGGTTATCGTACGGGGAGCGGTGTTTTCCCAAGCGTTCACCCATTTAGATATTGACCAGGTTCGACGCTGCTTAACTTCGG